TCTTCAAATCCCCTTCAACTAATTCTCAGTAAACAGTGTCAGCAGAGGATCAAATTGCCGATTGTGACTTGCAAAAAGGCATCTGAGAAGATAAACATTTCTAAACGCAACAAAAGTTCATCAACCAAAACATTTTAAACTGTTACAACTGGCTGTTATATTGACATACATGGGCATTTTCTGATCCTGCTGCATCAGTAGATCTTGCTTGTCAGGAAAACTTTGCCAAAGGTTGTTTGAACAAAAGACCAGTGCTGTTGCATTTCATGCAGACAGATACAGCTGAGGCAGTACTGTATTTCACAACTATACTTGGGAATATCCATTTGACAAAGAAAGAGCAAGGACTAAACTGTCAATACATAAACTCATTTTCCCTGAATATTTTCTGACTGTCTTCAAGTTCTAAGGTGTTTGGTCTTTTTAATATCTTCACAGCTGTTCATCAGCAGAAAAAAGATGGGCGCACGGATAAGCAAACATCCGGCTGACCCAAATCCTCAGCTGTTTGTTTATAAAGAGAGCTAATGCAGCCTTTCACAAATGTGGCACGAGCCAACGCTGCAGTGCAAACAATGAGAGGAAAACAGAAAATGAAAGAGAGCTGAAGGTTAGGAAACAACCAAATTTACTTTAGCCAGATGAAAGGTCAGAGCAGGGGGTGTGACGGTGTGTAAGAGTAAGGATGGGCAGTGAGAGGAAAAGAGGGATGGTGGGCAGACTGTGGTCAAGGCCCAGTGATCAGTGATTTGACCAGCAGCTAAGGGCTTGTTCAGAAGAGGAAGGGACAGCAGAGGTGGTGGTGGAGTGGAGGAAGCCCACTTAGACACAAGTTTCACTACAGTCGTAAAACACCACATCAGTGTGGGAAGACTACCTCTGGCATTAATGATGGGACTCATTCAAGTCTATAAACAGTACAGGTCCAAATCTAAAAATAATTTGATTATTATTTGATTTATATGGGCTTGTGGAAATATGTAAAATGAATTAAAATACACAGGGACCACAATATTGATCAATAAAGGCATGTTTAAGCAAGGAATACAGTTATGTCTCTATGCATAAATTTTGTCCAAATGATTTTCCTGTCTGTTTTTAAGGCAACACAGTCTGCAGTGTACTGACTGACATTATTTTGGGGAGGATGAGGAATACATTAAATCTCAGAGTACACTTTTTCAGACTCTAAAAAAACACTTTGATGGTCTAAGACATATAGGTAGTATACATCTTCTTTCCAAGCGTTAGATGAGGACATTTACCACTTGTCTGTACATTAAATAAAAAGCTAGAAGACGGTTAGCTTATCTTAGTGTAAAAACTGGAAGCTGTTGAATTGGTGAAGCTAAATAAACCATATTTAAAACCATTGCCTACAATTAAATACAGAGGCTCTGTGAGTGCTGTTATTGGTGCTCTGCACAGTAGAATACAGACACATTTGTAATTTCAGTGTCCCCCCTCCCACACACACACACACACACACACACACACACATGAATCCGTGAGGTGAAGCCCTCACAGCAGAATCATTCTCTGTCACTGAGCTGTATTTATAACCCCATCTATCAGCCAGCACCGGGATTATGTGGCACTATTCTCTGGACCAAGACTACTAAACTGCCCCCTAGCCATACATTAAGGCAGAATGAGTGTGTGGGTGTGTGCATGTGCACATGCATCTCCGTGTGCATGTGTATGGGTTTGTGTTAAGCAGATATAGGTGCACCACCTAATTACAGAAAACATTCAGTGGCTCCCTGTTCCTGGGCAACTATTACACTGCTTCTGGAGGTCAGAGAAAGAGCCTGAGGGAGAAAGAGAAGAAGAAGACAACAGCCAGAAAGGTGGAGGACAGGAGGGAGACTGATTTGGGCAGATATTAAAAAAGAGATGGTTTGAAGTAGAGGATGTAGAACCGAAAAACAGAAGGGTGCTCTCCCTTGTTGTGTCTCTCTGGTGCTCTCTGATGAGAGTGGAGATCTATGTCCTCTTCTGTCCAAGGTCATGGTTGTTACATGGGAGCAAAGCAATCTCTCAGACACATACACTTTTTGTGCCGATAACTAAAGAAACCACTATAGATTAAAGCAATTAAACCAAAGGAGACCTTTGACCCAGCATTGTACCACAGCCAGGAATCATATGACGTGTGTGTCAGTAGAGGGCATGTTTTACATATGCTTGCCTCTGCACTAACTGCTCACCCTCATGTTAACCTTACGAAGCAATACAATAATTTTCCCCGGCACCAAAGGGCCTCCCATATACGAAAGGATTCATGTGCACAAGACTGATTAGAGATTATAATAAAGCTTAAGGCTGTAATCCACAGAGCAGGCACATTTTATTATACATATTTATTTAATCATTTGGATCCTGATTTCAAGCAGAATTTAGAGTTAAATTGTTCATTTGCCTCTATTCATATGCTCAAATCAACACCCAGCTGCAGTGGATGGAAGCATAAAGCTCCAATCATGGTTGCATGTTTTCTAAGACTAAGGAAGTCTAGTCAGAGACAGAGGGAAGATACAACAGTAGAAAAGAGTGATAGTCTGCACTGTTCCTAAAAAATGATTCTACACAAGAAATGTGCACATTGAAAAAGTGCAGGGAAAATTGGGTGCAAAGAAAAAACCAGAAAGAAAGTAAAGAAGGGATGAGGATAACAACGACGAAGAGACCAAGGAGACACCTGTGTGCAGCCTCCCAGCTGTTACATCAGAATACCCTCAGGATTCAGACACAGGAGTGTTGGGCTCCCTCTGGTGGTGCACAGAGCTTTCTCCCTTTACTGTCAGTAATAAAGACATTTAGAGGATGCTCTTCATCAAAGCAAATTGTGAATTAACCCATTTCCACTTCAGATCATGATCCCAATGCAGTCTGCTGTTGGCAGCAATTTCAAGCAATTCTATAAATTCTGCTGAAGCACTGTGTGCCGCCAGTCCACCCTCATAACTGTTCTTCTTGTAAATGCCAACAGTTTTGGAGCAGATCAATAGTTCTGGTAGTAAACTAAGCTTGTTGACAGTTTAACACTATTTTCAGTTCTATCAAAGGGACTGTGATCTTAATTGAGCCTTGAAAGCTGTAGCTCTCTTTTTATGACAGCCGTTGCTTCTGCTACTAGACAGACTCAGAGGGAGGATTTCCCAGAATAACTCAACTACCAATATGCGTGGGTGGAGAATATGCACACTCATAGACAAACACAAGGTAGACACACGCTGGCACAAAGACGAGCAATCTTTCAGCTAAGTGTGCAGTCGCAGCAGGAAAACTGCAAGGCCAAAAAGGTCAAAGGAAAGCATAGAGTGGCTATCAGAAATAGCCTCATTGGGTTACTGTCCCTCTGGGGTACATGCACACACCCTCCACACACACACAGACAGTAGAACTTGCAAGTGGGGTACTGGGCTTAAAAGTGTATGAAACAGCAGAGCAGAGAATTCCCCAGAAGATGAAAAACCAAGTTAAGTCATACAGACACACACACAAACACTGCCTGACAGATTATCTGGAAAGTGTGTATTGACCTGACCCCTTTTACCTGTGTCTCCACTCAGACATTCTCAACATGATCCACACACAAACACACACCATGCATGGCAACACAACAGATGCCCCCGTGTGTTTATCTAAATCAACAGGAGTGTCCTTTGGCTTCCAGTTGGTTTCATCATTCATGCTCATTTCAATGAATATTTCAGCAGTGGGAAGAGTCTCCCTCAGATGCATTGTCTCCTGCTGTTAAAACACTCCTCCTCCTCCACTCTCTAGCCTCTCTTCCTCTCGCTGCCTAGCCCACCCTCCAGAGCCGCTGTTCTGTGTGAACTCCTCGGGGCTGTGACATACATTCAGTGCGATGTATGTACGCTCAGTACTGTTAAGTCAGCCAGACACAGGAGGTCCCATTAAACATGAGTGTGGCCTGTCATTGTGTCTGCATCATTTGAGTATTTAATCTATCCCGTGTCATCTTGAAGTTGAGACGTATTTGTGTGACAGAGTGAGGGAGAGCACAGAGAAAGCATCAATGAAAGCCAAATCATGCAGCTCATAACAGGGACTGAGAGTTTTGCTGAGCTGCAAAACAGGACAGACCGGAGCGTTGGGGAATACTGAATGAAATGATTCACTGAATGACAATCAAGTCACAGCTGTACCATCTCCAGACTGTCTGACTGCCAGCAAGCAAAACAACACCACAGACTTCCCAGTTTGGTTCCAATAACATACAACATGCTTCATAAGACAGTTATTTAGTGCACACTGCTCTGTTCTTTTCTCTGTTTGGTGTAAGTTTATAACTTCCAATTAAATGAGCCAAATCCCTTGTTTCAGCGCACCAAGCAGTCAGGGGTAGTTAGTAAGCAAATGCATGGGCTGATTTCAGACCAAGCATCGATGTTAATACAATAACTGAGAAAGGCTCAGCAGCAGCGTGTGACAAATTTAATGTAATTGCTGCTTCTCATTTGCAGACTGAGCCACAAGGCTATAGTACAGCAGAAAAAGCATTAATCAGTGTGATATAATGTAGATATCAATAATTAAGAAGGATTTTGACAGAGATGTCAATGCTGTTTTGGCATAGGCCTAATCATTATAAGTTAGACTACTTTAATGCAAGAAACAGTTACACACATAAATACAATGTGAAGGAGCTTTTTCATGATGTCAGAAAGTGAAATGCCTACATCAGCCTTCTCTATTTTCAGCACGGATTGTATAACCTATGTCATACAAAATTAATGTCAATATGCTCTGAAAATAAAACGTGACAAGCAGTTTCCCCCCTCGCTCTCTGCTTTTCTTTATGCATGATTCATAACCGGGCCGAGCACTTAACGAGAGTCTCCGCCGCCTCGCTCCGCTCCCTCCCCGGCAAGTGGATACGGGATTGGGGCTTCCCATCCGGCAGTACGGCGCGCCATCAAGTCATCTACCTCACTTCTCTTAAGGTTCACACAACCCGCCAGGACACCCACCTTCATTCTCCGGGTAATTCCGTAAGGCTCGACACGGCGACAACGCGTGAAAAAGAAGCACGGAGGACAGGAGGGAAAGGGATGGATAGATCCACAGGACGCGTGGTGGTGCCATTTTCAGCCTGCGCTGCGCCCTCGCTGCATCCCTGTTGGCGGTGTGGAGTCAGTGAGCGCAGCCTTGCGATTGAGGGGAGAGAGAGAGAGCGCGCGAGAGAGAGAGAGGGAGAGAGAGCAGGGGGTACGACAGGAGAGGAGAGAGAGAGGAGGAGGAGGAGGCGCTGGGGGAAGGAGGGTCCGCAGTCAGCCAAGTCCTGTCAATCAGCCTCGTATTCCTGGGGTGGAATAGTGGACTTGGGAGACTCCTCACACTAGGTTACACAGCAAAAAACAAAAATAAAATCAATTTAAACGTGTGATTTATTCCATTAGTTTAAAAAAATGGAGTGTATGAGAAAGATACAACCTCTCCACAGCCTTGTAAAAAATATTACATTTCAATTGTCAGTGACTGAAGGACACAGAAAAAAATTCATTATGCTTCCAAGATCATCCTAAACTGAAAGCAGTAACAACAGTGCTATGAATGTCACTATAAAACCAAGCCTTTTAAGAGATAATATTACTCTTACAGTACTGTATAACTGAAACTCGAATTCCATTCATTTGAACGGAATTCACGTACGGTATAACAAAAAAGACACTTATGGAAATTGCCATTATACAAAATGACCGTATGGCAGGATATCCAGACGAGACAGCTCGTTCCACAATGGAAAATGGCAATGCATGTCATACACGGAGTTTTGATTGGCTTACCACTTGGGTAGAACCGCTCACAACAAAGCCAGCCATCTCATTACCAATACAGACTTGTAGATATTCTCAGTATACACCAGGATAAACACTTCCATCTCAGTGTAGAAAATACTGTCAATTACTTTGATAAGTGACACAGGCACATGGCAATTATAGGATTAGTGTAAGCTCTGGTTCATCTCTCTCTGTCTTTATCCTGTTGCTGATATGGTTCAGATGCTACCAGTGGTAGACAATGTTGACATGCACAACAGATTCCAATCAAACACTTTATATACATATATATTTGACTGCAGTTTTGCTGTCAGTTGTGTGATTGTCTGCTGTGTTTGTGTGAATGTGGCTGTCTTGGGCGCACTGTCTTTAAACATGAATAAATAATGTGCACACGCAGTGAAATGTGTGAAGGAAGAGCTGAGAGTGTGCAAGGTCAACAGTTCAATTTCCCACAAAACCTCGGTTCCAGATGGAAGAAGATACATCTCTTGCTTAACTGCTCGAGTGTACGTATGTGTATTTGTGTTAACACAGAGAATATTGTGCTT